GTGGGCGCGACTCGGCTACAGATATTGTTGTAGTAGTAGTTGTTACACAGTAGTTACAAGACATAGCGCTGTACAATAATTGTACATTATTATACGCGTGTTTCTTCAGTGCTTTCGTTTGCTACGGACGCTAAGGCTAAAAATTAATTTTACCAAAAGCCACGTGGGGTTGCCAACAAAACGATAAAGGTTATTGCGAATTTTGCTATGCACACGTCGTTTATCGCGTACACTATTTACGTGGTGTTTGGCTGACGATAATATTTCCTATGCGCAACTAATACCGCATGTGTAAGTCGAATATGGGCGTAATTATGACGTAGGACAAAAACTATATTGTTGCCTTGAAGGGATGAAACACTATCATAGTAGGTACTACCGCCGTATATCGTACGATTTTGGCAAAGTAAATCAAGTGAAGTGCACTGGTAAATTGCGATGCCAAAATATTAGATTTCAATAACTAATGCATTTATGCATTAAAAAATACATTAACTGTAAAGTGTACGAAATTTTACAAATTTCACATGCATTCTACAACCATAGAAATATTGATTTATCTATAATATTATGTGTCATGAATATTTGGCAATATTATGAATTATAACGTAAAAAAAAAAACGATATTAATTTACTGAATGATTTACTACCATAATAATAGTGTCCTGTAGTACAGTTGCAAAAAATCATAATATCGGATATACAGATGTTACAATGAATTGGCCTTTGATAACGATTATCTAAATTAGATGTCCAATAAAAAATTTACTTATGCTCTATAAATTAAAAATAATGCAACAAAATCCTAAAAATGCTATTATAATTATAATTTATTATAGACTATGTATTGATTTAATTTATTTACGGATTAAGAGCTCAATACTGAAAATTTTAAGTTTGAAATTGATTTGTTTATGTTCATTAATCATATAAATATAGAATGCCCAGGTTATTGCCAGTTGACCCGTATCAAATTATTTTATAGTTTTTTAGCTGTATATAATCTTAAATATAAGATTCGAAACATTTCAATTTAAACTTAAGAATAAAAATGGCGTAAAAACTAAATAATTATATGAAATGTAAAGTAAAAATAGTTATATACATATAACAAGGAATAAAATGTGTTCGTACCAAAGAGAATAACGTAAAACTTAACCTCTCGAAAAAATGCAAAGTACATTGAAATCACGCCCCTTATAATTACGAGTATTTTATGTTATATTATCATAGTCCGTGTATATTATATTATTATGCTTATGATAATATAATAACTACAACCTCAAATTCATAAAATAAACGTTGAATAACAGAATGTGATACACATAAAGTAGGTTTATGCGTGCATCTGATAGATGTTTATTATTTTTTTTTTTTTTTTATGAAATTGCAATATCCGGTCGTATTTCTTTCATATTTGTATCAACCGACTCCGATGTCATTATCCAAACATGTTTATTTTTTTAAATAAATTGAACAATATCGCAGTATATTATTGTGGCGATCAGTCGATTACGTTTTAAAACAAGTTTTATTAAAAATAAATGCAAATACAATATTATTGTTTTGTGATTGATGAATTCCAAAAAAAATGTACAAATAACATTTTTTTAGTACGATATTTATAATATCAATATATTATACTTTTAACTAATATTTTGTTCGTCATTTATCAACTACAGACTTCCTATTATATTATAGTAAATAGTTTAATTATTATTTACTACAAGAATCAATTTTTGTTGACCTTCAACCAAAACCAATTACAGTTTTCCAGACTATTGACATGAATCGATTCGATCTCTTCTGTACCTAAATATCTGGGGTTGGCAAGTGCCTACACTTATATTATTACGCAGAGTAGGGATTGATTAATATTCTGACTTTGAAGTATTTATTTGTTTGACACCGGAAGTATGCGTGGAGACATATTTTTCCTTTCTCGATATTATGTTGATATTTCGTTCCCTGTAGGAAACACATACACCATGTATGTTTGTGTTGTATTGGTCATCGGTCGCAATCATGTATACTAAGTATACGAATCAAAAACAACGTACCTGACTTAATGGTTTTAGTTTATAATCACTGTAATATTATAACACTTGTATGGCAATGACAAATATTTATGAAGCAAACACAACGTAATTATTTTACTATAAAACATACAATATTTTTATCAGTCAGTGTGTTTTTAAAAGCATATTTTTATGCGTGATTTGAATTTACTACAATTTTAAATACGTAATACTTTGGAAAATGCTGAGAAATACAAATTAGGTAGACAAAACTAAAACAATATAAAAACACATATGTATACATACTGTATATGTATATTGTCTAGTATGTAATTTGTGTAATTTGTGGACAGGTTTAATTTAATATTCATATTACATAAAACAAATACACACACACACACACACACACACACACACACACACACACACATATTGGTACATAGAACCTAACATGACCGTGCAGACTATGTAAATAATTAAATTCACGTCACTCTATACACGTGGTATAGCGTGAGCAAAGAGCAAGCGCACACATACTCATTAATACATAATAGATTATGCATTATCCACGGAGTGTGTAAGATCATCATTAATCTTGAATTATCTAGACCACGGGTATAGCTAGATGTACTTTAACTATTTACCACTACTAACAATAATAAGGATAATAATAACAAGACGTACACGGTGTGGTGGTTGCACGATTTCTGGTGCACACGGAAAAAAATATTGTAAGTCTAGTAGAGCAATAACCGTGTTACGTGATTATCCTATGCTGATTCACTACTGTAAACTATGATACTGCAGTGGTCGCTTCTCATAGTGAACAAATCCATCCGAGAGTATTTTGATCACTATAACCAGAAATAACTACGATCGGTGACTCGAAAAACAGGTAGAGATTTCCCTTTCCTGATATTTTTGGTCACTATAAGTGGCTGATGTTTTATAACCAATGAACACTATAAACTATGACCGTTATTGCGATCGATTCGATTCCAATAAAGGACGCAAATGTCTCCTATAACGATTTTAACGAGTCATACAAAACTAAATTAACTAAACTCGATTCGTTGAATATCACTTGTACCCAGTGATCATGGTGTAGACGGAAGATGGTGGGGATGCTGCCCAATTACTCAAAAACTGGGATAATAGTAGGTACACGCTAACGTCCTCTTTGTATAGGTAAACAGCACCTATGTAGAACTTTAGATAGTGCTGGTGCAGAGGGATGAATGGTGTTGAAAATGTTGTTACATCTCCCACCCTTACCCTTGCCCGTGTTTATTTATGAAACGCATAACTTAATAACCTACTTTTGATAAAATAGTGAAAAATATATTGTGTAGAATCGCAATTATTTTTAAATTAGTTTTCAAAGCTATTTATATACACACTATGTCTTATTTTGTCATTCAAGGTTATTATTTTTGATAAGCGATTTCTCCACCCCTTATAATAGGAAGTTCCAGCCAACGTGCCAAACGTAAGGTACGAAGTCGTACGTAAGGTATACAATCGTCATAACTTATGGACCTTCTTTACTGTTCTTTTGATCTATATTAATATTCAAGACCACTCGTATAATAATAACCGAAACCTGCAACTGTTTCGTTTTTTTAATTAAAACATTCCAAGTGCACAGATTAGCTTCAATGTAATTAAGAAAACAGAATGTTAAAAAAGTGATAATCATAATGAAAACACCTATCACGGACAACACTAATAAAACACTATTGCATACAATTTTCCCGAATAACAAACATACGAAAATTGCTTAGTTTGAAATTATTTAAAACGACTAAACATACTCGTATATTGACCTAATTCAGTATTTGTTTCAACCACTCAACATTCAAAAATAATTTGGAACATTTGAAAATAATGACACGTGAGTACGGCTGATAATAATATTTTAGCACCTAAAATATAATAATATTGATTTTGTACGTGGGACTTCACGCCGCAGACCAAATCAAAAGCGGTATAATAATAATCCTTCAAAAGGTATAAGCTTGTAGTTTTGGGGTTACAGAAATCTCCGTGCCCTTAACGAAATTATTCTTCGTAATTTTCTCTAGAACATAAAACTCCAAAAGCAATAGTTACATTATTATCATTGTGTTAAGATTAAGGTAAATCCGATTTCCCCGAGGGGCAATATTTTGTCTTTAACGAGAAGTGTTCACCGACCGAGAAATTCTAAGTGGTAGGTACCTGCATTTACATTTTGATCAGTTAGATATACATACAATACCTCGATATCCAATTTAAATAATAATGCGTTAATTTATATATCATTTTTGTGTTACGAAATAATGCACCAGATACCACGAGGGTTTCACCCTCAATTATAAATCCTCGTTAAATGATTTCAGAATAATTGTTTATAAAATATGTTATAATGCAGCTGATGTAGCATGGTGTATTATAAATCTAACCAACCAAAATCCGAGTTTGACAATATAACAGATCGTAATAAAACAATGTAATTTTTGAAATCAATTTAAAAAATAAACAAAACGATAATGGATAGTTTTTGAGATTAATTATTATTTATTATCATAACTACCTGCCTATATCATTGTATTCACTATTCGTGCATATAGTTATACTTACAATATCAGTACCAATATTTATTATTGTATGGATCAAGGCATATTAAAGATTAAATTATATTTAATGCATAGGTACATATAGTTAAGTTATTATTTTTCAAATTTAATTCTTAGTTTTAAATTAAGATATTAAGTAATGTTGTTAATATGTACGTAGCTATATTTTTGTTTAAAATAATAAAAATGTAGATTTTTAATTGGTTTCGAATTTTCAATAACATTATAAAATGATTATTCCATCAACATTAAATTATTAAATAAATTGGTTTTTTTTATACGCAATATGCTATCATAAATCTTACCAAAATCAGGATGACACACATAATTGTAGCATAGGTGTAACACATACTATATACGTTACCTTATTATTGCGTCTTACACAAACACATGAGCGCGCGTTCTTGCGGCAATTTCTTAATTAAAACGTACCTGAAACAACAACAAAAACAATTTGATTAGTTTTATTTTGATATAATATGCATGTAGATCTATCTTATACCGATAACATCCGGTTGTAATAATACTTATTATAATTTTATGGTTCACTATATACACAGTTATTGGTAGGTTAAAATATCGATTTCCAAAAAATTATATATAAATCCAATAAATATTTATAAATAACAATTAATATATTTCAGCTAGAGAAAATGAATAAATAATGAGTAAATCGTCTTAATTTATACTTTTTTTTTGTGTTTTTTTAAATTTATATTCGTCCTATTATAGGCCTTTCATTATTTACGAGTTTTTATAATGGCGTTAATTAAATCAGCCATTACTCAAACGGTGCACTGAGTAATGGCAAAAGTGTTTAAAATTTCAAGAGAATAAAAGACAACGAAGAAAAAAATGAAATTTCAAATAAAGCTACGCACTGCATCCTCTACAGCGGATGCCATCACGAGAAAAATATTTATAAAAGAACTGACGTCTGATATAGAAATAAAAATAAATTACTAAAAAAATACAAGCGTAGTAATTGTATTTGTTTTAAAAACGATTATATTTTTAAAAAACAGTGGTAATAATAGTACCTATAATATCGTGGTACTGTTGTGGTGGTGGTGGGCGGGTATAATAACGATGCAACGAAAACAATGAATTACAATTTTAAATATTCGTACTTGACATAGACAAAGTGTAAATAAGTTTTTAACTCTACTCGAAACGTTAAACCAACTAGGAATCGAGGACAGACGCGCACTTTATTAGAAAAGGGTTATGAAGGTATGTTTATTCCGTTAACAGCGGTTGCATCGTGCCTCAGAGTGTGTATTGGTATGCGGATAGTTCGTGTGCACATATTAAACTTGCCCCCCAACACACTCTAAACAGGTATTAATATCACAACGTGTAAAACATATCATGAACGAGAGGGAAAAGATATGTCGCCTAGCGAGTTTCGCTTTAGAACGCGAAACCGTCGCGTGTGTGAGGTGTCGGCTTTTCTAATAATAATTTATATAATATGATTATAGCCTATAGGTATTGTTTATCAAGCGTCATTACTATATAATTGTATAATACATTTTGAAGTTTATATGTCACTGGCACCCTCCATATTATTTATATCGAATTATCACGAGACGACGAAAATAATAACATTTTTATTATGGTTTGTCACAGGCACTGGCGATTGATCGCGAGGTTTTTCCATCACTCAGTACACCTTATTGGTACTTATTTACCACATGAATTTACGGTAGCCACTGCCAATTTTAACGACATAATAATATCGAGTCGTCACGCAACACTCGATCGGACTATGTTTATATTATAACAATAATATTAACAATGTTATTTACGCCATTATATCATAATGATTTTTTTTACGGATACGTTCGTGTGGCATCAATGGTATTGATAGGAATCATTTTCTGGTTGGCTYATTGCCGAAATAATTAATGTTGAATCGTAATTATTGAAAACTGGACAGCAGAAAAATATAGTTCAACTGGTGAATAGCTGAAAACGGCGTATTAAAATAATGTAGCATTAAAATACTCAGCATATAAATATATAACCACGTGACTATATTTTTCTGTTTTTGTGAAACCTATGGAACAAAGTTATGACCACTAAGTCGGGTGGTGAAGTTCTTAAACTTAAAAAAAAACAATGTAGAACTCGGTGTTTACCAAAAGTGGTAAATATTTTATCAACGACGGTTGGTCGATTTGCGTAATAATTAATATTGAATCAATTTAATGATTACTGGTCCACCGAAAAAACATATAGATAGATGGAAGAGTAGTTTAAAAATAGCATACAACAATAAAAATATATCGAGTATAAAATCATTATATCCTCTAGCTGATAGTACAATAATTAAGAGCAATTCATATACCTATTCCAATAATATGTTTTTTGCTAGATATAACCTCATGACTATACGTTTTTCGAGGCCGGGAAGCTGGTAGAAGGTTGGAGTCACTATATAGGTTGAGTGATGCAAATATTAAGCTTGAGAAAGATGCAGATCTTCGAGCTAGATGTTTGTCGATAGTAGTAAATAATTTGTCAGCGATAGCTGATTTTGCGAGCGAGTGTTTGGTTTCCAATAGTTTCAGATGTTCCAAAAAAAAAAAAAAAAAATGCATTGAAAACCATGTTCAATCACAATGAAATAACGACGTCGTCAATAATTATCACGAGTATTGACACACTAAAAAATTAAAAAATCTCTTCACGTTTTGAGTCTCGCGGGTATATAAATAATATTAAATAACGGATTGAAACTAATGATACACGCTTCAGTAGATAATTGAATAGAAACGTTTTTACACAAATTTTCATTTTTTTTTCGTATCGATATGCATATCATATAGTATTGAAGTAGGTATGCACTTATTACGAGAAAAATGATTTACCAAATATTTGTTTCGGATTCCACTAAAAAAACTAGTAAAAAGTAACTACGTCAAACCAAAATATTATATGTAATCTAACATAATTTTTAAAAAAAATATTGTTTTCATACAAAAAACAAAAAAGTAAAAATGAATTAATAAGATTTATACGACAAATTGAGTAGGTTATTTATCTTATGAAATGTACTAAATATGTTAAGAACGAGTACAGCGGTGGATTTAAAAGGGACTGCTCTCCAATTGGCTTAAGTTAGGTTTGTTAGTAAATGAAAAACTTTAAGTTGGCTGGCTGTCTGATCACTATTATAAAAATAAGAGTGGATCGGAGTAAGGAGATTACTTTTGATCCAAATTATAGAAGCTCATAGGTTTTGAAAAACATGATAAAAACTATAACCAAAGCTTAAATTGCTTGTTAAAGTTTAAGTTGCGTTACGTGTGTGATGATATTTTGGTCATCGGCGATTATAGTTGACTTAATTTATTTTTCTTATAACTCATCATAAACCAAAATCATGTATAGAGTTTGTGTCAAAAATGTTGAACAGTATTTATATATTTATTTATATATTTTTTATCAAAATAAATAAAATGAAAACCAAATAAATAGAAAAATCAGGAGAGGGAAAGAGCCCATTGGTGACGTCCCGATAATGTTAAACAATTTTTGAGCGATCTGAGGAAACACACTTTAAAATCCTATTTGCAAATGAGCGAATTTTAATGTTTTTTTTTTCTTCAAAATCCTCGTCACGTAATCCCACAGTAATATAATATCGTTGGATACATAATACGATTTCATATATGGGTACGTCAAGATGTGTGACGTGTGTGACAGATAAAGACGGCATATTACAATCCAATCCCCTAAACGCGTTTGTCGTTGGAGTTTGTATAATAATTTATTATTATAAATACCAAAAATATCCAGTATAGGTAGTAGTTTGATATTTATTATGACATCTGATGTTTAATGCGTTACAAATTGACTGTCGGATGGATTTTAAAGATCAGTACTGCGTATAATAATATCATCACTGCAACACCGAAATGACTACCAGTCGAGATGGTGGCATGGGCAAGTCCCATTGTTTGCCATCGATTATTTTTTATCTCGTAATCGTCTTCGTAACAAAATACATATAAATGACATGCGCCCCGAGTCTACACACGGTTGTATTTGTAATAATTTATGACTATGCTAAATAATAATAATAATAACAACAATAACGTATTTGAATAATTACTATTTTTTGGAATATTTAAGCGCGAGTGTCTATTACAACAGACTCGTATCGATCGTATTTTCGTATTCAAATATGTTTTAAAATTATATTTTTCACAACGTTGGCGAGTATAGTATAATAATAATAGTATACCGAACAGCACTATTTCTTCGCTCCACTGTAGCGGATGGTGGTTTATATATATATATTATTCCTTTTTTGCCGACGAAGAAACGTTAGCGGCGAACATCGCCTTCCATATATAATCTCGCCCTGGTTGGTCTTGGTTTTTTTCACACAACGAATTTTACATATATTGCCGTCTATAAAGCCGTCTAAAAGGCTCTCCAGACGGACGCATTATTACTATTATTATTATTATTATTATTATTTGGTTTGTCCCATCGGAAGATCGATACGTGTATCGCGTATACGCGTAGTGTACGTCGATTTGGTTTTTGATGGTATCCGCACAGATATATTTCACGGTTTACCACCGCCACTCGCCATCCTCCCACCGATCCTCAATCCCGTTGGACTACGAAATTCCGTCTATTTTATTATTATTCTTCTCTTCTTCATGTGTTATCCTTACGAAATATATTATTTTTCTCGCTCTCTCGAATGCGCCCAAACGTGATTCAGTTTCTTCGTGGTGTAATGCAACGGGGACCACATGCACGGTCTCGACCCAGTCCGTAAAAGTCTTTTTAAGCTTAGCAATAATAATAATAATACGCYATGTATGAAGTTCCTTTAGCGGTTAGTTTAAATTCGTCGTTGTTTCGGTCGTTTAGAAGAGATCGACCTTCATTAATATCATACTAGTATGGCCTATAAATGTTAATTGTATACCAACTGCGAAGACGACAGTGGTMAATATAATATATAATAAAATAATTATAAATTTTATAATGTATGATGTATGAAAATTCATGATAAACTAAACTTCTTTTCTTAGATTATTATTCTCTAATTTCAACCAACAATATTTTTATTTAATCGTCATGTGCATGTGTGTGTGTGCGTGCGTGTGTGTGACATAATTTGAATTACTTAGGTCTTATATTATGTTGTACCAACATTTTGTAGAATCAATTTTTATTTTTAGAATAATCTGATAAATCTTTTGATTAACATATTAAGCTAACTGATATTTAGGTATTTTGTGATTTTTGTGATAATATATTTCACAATATCATAAAGATAATATTTTCACACATTGGTAATATATTATATAGATCGATTTATCGACAGGTTTACAAGGCTACGATATATATTTTA